TTATCTAAATAATTTTTCCCCTCATCACCTTACTCTTTTCTATTTTTCACTTAAAATTTCACCTTTACCATCCCTTTTTTTGTCACAAAACCTTTTGCAATTTTTCTAAAAAATCTCCCTTTAAGCACTGTTATAATCAGAAAAAAAGTAATGTCATTTCCCATTTTGTTTTTAAATTCCCCTTTAATTCCACCACTCCCCTGAAAACCTTGGTTTTACCTCTTTTAAAAACCCCATCTAAAAAATATTTTAAACAACCTTGGTGACTTCCCCACTTCCCGGTCAAAGGGACCTACTTTTCCCGGGGAAAGTAGTCTCCTCCCTTTACACACCCTAACCTGAGCCTCACTATCCTCATAAAAACCTGGGTTTACAGCTTTTAAAGTAACTTACCACCCTTTTTCCATATACGTACTTGGGAAAAATCTGCCCCCATTGCTCCCCTATTCCCCTTATATTTTGCCCTTTTTTAAATCCATAAATGCAATTAAAAAATTCCCACCTTTATTAAAAATTGGGCAAATATATTTCTTCAACATAAACCGATCTGACATCCCCCCCCCATTCTAAAAACCCCCTTGCTCCTCCGCAATTCCCCTTCGGGCTTACCTCTTAAACCTTTCAAAAAATAACCCCCAAACCGTACCCCTTTTTTCCCTTTATACTCAGCAAACTTATTCCTCTATAATTTTTTAAATCTTTTCTCCCCCTTCCCCTTTTTTTAAAGGGGGGCTTTTACACGCTCTTTGCCAAACCCTAGGTACCTTCCCCCTTTCATTTTCATTTATTAAACAAAAAAACCCAAACCCCTCCAAACCCCAGTCTTCCCCCCGCTTTTAACCCTTTTTCATGATCCCCTCAGGGTTCCCGCTGATTTTTCCCCCCTTTTATTTTACGTAAAGCCTCCGCACCCCCCCCCACACTCACTTTCCCGCTCTTCTTCCCCTTCCCAAAAGATGGTTTACCTCCCCGGCCAGGGGCCTTTAAATTACCGCCCCCCTTTTTTCGTTGACATTTAAAAGTTCCTCCAAAAAAAAATTTGGCCCTCTACCCAAAACCCCCCTTTTCCCCATTACTAACTCCCCTACTACAAATCCCTTTGTTTTTTAAGCTTTTTAATTGTTTAACTCACTCCCAAAATTTTTTTTTTATTTTTATTAAAATTTTTTTGAAAAGTGCCTTTTCCCCTATCCCTCTGCTATCCTTTTTCACCTCTCACCCCTCCTTCACCCCTTTTTTTTAAATCTCCATAACTCCCAAATCTTCCCTTTTAAAACCCTTTTGCTTAGAAATACCTCTCATAAAGTACCTTTTTCCTTTTTTATTTACACCCCTTTTCTTCTCATTCCACCAAAACTCCTCTTTTCCCCCAAAAACCCCCCCATCTATAACCCCAAAAAAATTCTGCCCCCCTAATAATGCTACATTTTTTAAAAATATTTTCCCCCCCTCTTCAAAACCCCCCTTTCCCCCCCTACTCATACTTGCACCCGCCCACCCCTTTTTGCCAATAACTGCTTATATTTTCACCCCCAAATTCCTCCTCCCCTTGTTTATACCTTTCACCCCCCTCTTACTTGTTGTTGCCAAATTTTTCCCCTTTCCTATTACCCCCTTTTTTCTAATGTGCTTACAACTAGATAATGATCCCTTTTTCAGTTGCCCCTCTATAAATGTGCACATTGGAGCCTACCCCTCAACCCTTTTTTCCACCAATACATAATCTAACAAAAAAAAATTTATTACATGCTATATCATACCTTGTACATTTTTTTATCCCCTTTTTCATAACTATGTATTTCTTATTACCAAAAAATCTTTCGACACATAGCTCAATTAAAAGGCTCCCCCGTTTCGTTTTTCCCCCGGGACCCCCAAAATTTTCCTACTACTTCCCCCATAAAATTTTTACCCCCCTTTAGCATTAAAATCCCCAACCACCCAAATACCCCTTTACACTTGCTTCAAAAATCCCCCCATTCACTCAAAATTTTTCCCCAAAAATTTTCCCCTCTCCTCCTCTACATTTTCTCTTCCCCCTGGGCATTTTACAAATTACTATAACCCACTTCTCACATCCCAACCCTTTTTTTTTGCTCCCCATAAAAACCCTTTTAATTAATTAAAATTCATAGTCCTCTTTTTCCCGCCCTTTGCTTTTCCCTTTAACATTATTACTACTCCTTTAGCTCTAACAATATTTGAAACCCCTGACTTAATCCCTTGTATTCCTCTCCACTGAAACTCACCTACCCCCTTCAGCTTTGTTTCACTTAAAGCCAGAACATCCAGCTTCTTCTCATTCATAACATCCACAATCATCTCTTTCTTATCATTTGCACAACATCCATGCACATTCAGACTTCCCACTTTGACAATTTTCTTCTTATTTTTTTTTAGTAATTATTACAGGAAAAGGAGTTACTAGCCCATTGTTCCCGGCATTTTAGTTGACTTTTACAACACGCATGGCTTACAGAGGAAAGATTCTTATTCCACTTCCCCATGGATATAAAAGGAAAAGTAATAAGAACAAGAACTAAGATAAAATAGAAAAAAAGCTCAGATGAGTGTGTATAAATAAACGTGTACATGTATGTTTAGTGTGACCTAAGTGTAAGTAGAAGTAGCAAGACGTGCCTGTAATCTTGCATATTTATGAGACAGACAAAAGACACCAGCAATCCTACCATCATGTAAAACAATTTCAGGCTTTCGTTTTCCACTCGCCAACCTACTGCCTATTATTATCTATTATTATTATTACATATTATTCTTCTCCTCCTCCTCCTCCTCCCCCTTCTCCTTCTCCTCCTCCTCCTCCTCCTCCTCCCCCTTCTCCTTCTCCTCCTCCTTCTCCTCCTCCTCCTCCTCCTCCTCCTCCCCCTTTCCTTCTCCTCCTCCCCCTTTCCCTCCTCCTCCTCCTCCTCCTTCCCCCTCCCCCTACTCCTCTTCCTCTCCCTCCTCCTCCTCTTCCTCTTCCTCCTTCCCCTCCTCCTCCTCATTATTATTATTATATACTTCCACATATCCAAAACAATGCTGGACATATAAATACTTTGTATATATTCCAAGACAATAGTAAATGGCCAAGGCAGGTGTAAATATCCACCTGTCAATGTGTTTGTGATAATTTGAGTACAATTTTAGTACCTAATACTAGTGACACAACAAAGAATGGTTATGAAATGACAAGAACTACCATAAATTATGATTATCAGAACATAAAAATTATATAAAATAATATGAAAAATAGAAAAAAGGTATATTGGCAACACTTTTGCAAGTGGCAGGACTCCATGTTGCTGTCACGTGAGCATCCAGTGCCAACTTCTCGGCCTCATATCTCTAAGTACTGACCCTAATTTTTTTTATTCTAAAACACTTAAAAAATATATGCTCTTTTTTTCTATATTTTTTTTTTTTTTTTTTTTTCAAAATATTCAGGGTGCTGTGTAAGAGAACATATATATATACATTTCGACCGTCTAAGGGTCAAGTGTGATGGTGGTGGTGGCAAAAGCCTCCACCTCCACCAACACAGCTTCTCTCAGTGGCAGCCCTTAAACCCAACAACAACATTTACACCATTTACTCCTCTCATACATTATGACATATTTTATTAATTTTAGAGAATATATCATGTTTCTATGTTATTAATATCATTTATAATGTCATATTAGATGAATTGTGATAGATAAATAAGCCATAGAGATGATATTAGCATCATATTGAAGCAAAATAAACTTGCCTTCCTCTTGCCTCCTACATGTCTATCATACACCAACAACTTAGGTCAATAAAGGTAAGTGTAATGTTAAATATTCATTTATCCATTTTATTAGAGCTTTATATTTATTTGTCATTGTTTTCTGTATGTATATTTATATTTAATCTTTAAAAAAATGTTCTGTGTTAATACTTTTGGCTATCTGAAATGGATTAATTGGATTTTCATTATTTCTTATGGGGAAAATTAATTCAACTAAAGGCTAGCTCTCTGGAACGGAATAAAGCTGTTGGTTGAGGGTCCACTGTATATGCATTTGCAGCAGTAGCCTAGAACCTAACCTGCTGTATAAGCAGGGCCTTCCTGTACACATTAACCCTTTGAGTGTTGAAACCCCTTCTCACAAACTTGCTTATAGTGTGAAAAAGTTGCCTGTTTCAACTACACAAGAAAGTGATCAGAAATTACTAATCCGGCCAATGTCACACAAAATTCAAGAAAGGCCAATTTCAAAATAGGGGCCAGAATAAATAATGCAGACATTCCTGGCACTAAAATAACATTTCTCTGTTTATTAATCACGTCTCCAGGCCCCTCTGAATTTACATTTGCTTTTCATTTTGAACTTTTATTCACACAAAAAAATAGATGATTTACTGTTATTCAGACTGCTGCATAATTGTAATAATTGTATAAGTACATTCGTGAAACAATATTAGACCCACCAGTCAACATGTATTGGATGCGTGACATGATTTGTTTACTCTTGAACATCGTCAAAAATCTAACATTTCCACTACTTTGAGCACAATTTCAAGCTATGTACTTTTATTTGGTAAACCATTCAAAATCACCTCTATGTCTGTAATATATCTTCCATTCTATCAAATAAGACCAAGAAAATGAGCACACAATCACAAATACCATACAAAAACACACCACAAATTTGCTATTTTAAACCAAAAACACAGTCGTATTTTTTTTCTCTTTATTCACTGTTTGCTGCAGGATTTTTTTATACTGTGCACACTGACCAGTTTTATCCTGCAAGATCTGAAGCCATTAGAATTTTGGCGTTGTATTATGGGATCAACACTGGCTTCAAAGCCATAGTTTTACAAGACTGACACTGAAGGGGTTACAACGATCCAAGCTTCATGAAAATTTCTCATTATTAAATCACATATTTTGTAATCTCTTACACTTATTTAGGATTTATAAAGTGTAGTATAATCTCTATATACTGTATAAAAATGGTGGTAATACTTACAAATATGCAACTTTGTTTTCCAGGTCTTTTCTCTCCTTTACATGTATATCATACTGTGAGCGAGCTTCAGCCTGACGATTCATTCTTGCCAAAACACGTTTAATTTCATCGAGTTTGTACTCTACTTCACGTCTTTTTTTCTTTCCCCCATCAATCTCTTCCATCACCTGAAAAACGATGAATCTTGAAATTTCACAATGATGAGCAACAAATACACTCATAAAACATGTCCATTCACAAATATAAAAAAAAAAACTATAATAATAATTTGGAATTTTGTTTCTCTTGAATACCTTTTTACCAAGAAATTCATACACACTTGCAAACCAAGCCATAAATACAGCAACAAAGATGAAGAAATACAAGATTCCCTCCCTTTATACAGATTTACTATATGCAAATTCATTTACATGCAACAACCTTATTTCTACCAGAAATTCACTACATGTGGTAAAAAAATCACTCTTATGCAATTGGAATGAGTGGTCTTTCCATGTTTTCACTCATGTGATCACCTAAGCACAGCACTCCTTGATTTTTTACCAAAACCTCATTACATATCACTTTACTGATTTATATCAATACAGTGGAAATTCTCTACTTACGAGTGCATCCACATGCAAGTTTTTCCAGATACGAGCAGTCGCTCGGTCGATTTTTTGCTTCCAGACATGAGCGAAATTTCTAGTTGGAGTGGGCCTCAAGGGAGGTTCCTAGAAGCTGATGAGGGGCTCTTGCTCTTGATCTAGGGAACTGAATCTCAAATGTTTGTTGGACTATCTTATTGAAACTTGGGCAATGTATGATGGAAAGATGCTTCTTAGTGTACACCAAAATTGAAAGAAATCAGACCATAAATAATGGAGTTCACTTCTCAGCCATTAGCCTCCCCTTAGTGGTATATTTTTTTATGGTTTTTATGGTTGCATTCTCATCTCATTTGATAGAATGGAAGATCTACTACAGAATAGATATGATTTTGATTGGTTTCACGACGAAAAGTACCCTGAAACTGAGCTCAAAGTAGCAGAAATGTTTGACTCTTTGGCGATGCTCAAGGGTAAACAAATGACGTCGCTGTCCAATACCTGTCTGATAGGCACTGCCCCTCAACCTTTACATATTGGAAAGCTCTTCAACACGCTAACAAAAGTGGGAGTAGACATCATGACGTAGCAGTGGCAGACATGAAGTAACAGTGGCAGACAACATGAACCAGCAGTGGCAGACAACTTGAACCAGCAGTGGCAGACAACATGAACCAGCAGTGGCAGACAACATGAAGCAGCAGTGGATAAGTGTAGCATTAAGAGTGTAGCAATTAAGTGCAGCATTAAGAGTGTAGCACTTATAAGTCACTTGGTCTGACTTTTCTGGGTTATCCTAGGTTCTGTACACATGTAGTCAGGAGCAGGAATGGCCACTGCGGTGGCCCCATAAACCCCAACAACAACAATGGCCGCTGTCACTACCACTAGCCACATGTATTTTATTCATTCTAGTGTATATATCATGTTTCTATATTATTAATATTGTTTATTATGTCATATTACATGAATTGTGATAGATAAACAAACCATAGAGTTGATATTAGGGAAATTATTGAAGTATTTTCTTGTGCCTGGAATCCCACTGGAACGAATTAATTCCATTTCAATTAATTTAAATGAGGAAAACTGACTCTGCAAATGAGCAAATCCAGATGCAAGCAAGGTCATGAAACGGATTAAACTCACAAGTAGAGGTTCCACTGTATTCATAACAAAGACTATTAGAAAAAAAAAAAGATGCTAAAGCAGCAAATCCAGTGAGTGCATGCAGTGTGTTGAAGGTAGTGGTGAGTGAGAGGGTGGGTGTTGGGTGATGATCCATCCTTCACCCAACAAACACGTCCAGAATATGTATACGAGCCTTGTCCTTCCCCTCCCTCACTAACACAATGTAAGTAATAAGGGAGGAAGGGAGACAGAAGGGTAGTGAATCAGTGATGGAGATAGTGAGAGAGGTGGTCAATGAGTGAGGGAGATAGTAATGCAGTGACCAGTGAGGGAGGCAGGGAGATAATGAGGAAGGTACTGAGGCAGTGAATCACTAAGGGGAGTAGAGACAGTAAATCAGTCAGAAAGGCAGTAAAGAAAGGAGAATGTAAAGAGGCAGCTAAAGGAGCATAGAGAGGAGCAGGGAGGGAGTGAGGGGCAATCAGGGACATGACCACCAGACCAAACCCAGGGCCTCCTACCATGGCACCCAGCCAACCCACCCCTAATAACTCCCCCTCAGCTGGGTTGGGGCCTCCCTCCTTGGCTCATTGGCATTGCATATGAGAAGGTGTTGCCATGGCCACTCACCTGAAACGATATCAAAAGCCTCACAAACAAATACGGTGAAATACATTGAATTCTCTAACAAAAAATTCTTGTTCCTGATCTAACGCATCTAATTAAAATGTGACAAGGCTAAGAGACAAGCAAGCCTTACCTTGTGTATATCAAGTTTTCCTTCTTCAGCAACAATCATTTGGTCAACTTCTAACAGCTCAGTCTTGATTTCATTAAGATCATTCAGAGAAAATCTGCTCTCATTAAGTGAAAGTGTCTGCTTAGCTTGCCTCATTTTCCTTCCAAGTTCTTCTAACTGTGTCCCTTTGATTTTAACTTCATGATCTAAAGCAGCTTCTCGAGACCTAAAGTAAATAAATTAATTAAATAAAAATGCCAAATAAACCAATACATTTCAGAAAGCCCTGGGTAGTAGGTTGGTAGACAGCAACCAACCAGAGAGGTACTACCGTCCAGCCAAGTGAGTGTATAATGAAAGCCTGCAATTGTTTTACATGATGGTAAGATTGCTGGTGTCTTTTTTCTGTCTCATAAACATGCAAGATTTCAGGAATGTCTTGCTACCTCTACTTACACTTAGGTCACACTACACATGCATGTACAAGCATATATATATATATACACACACCCCTCTGGGTTTTCTTCTTATTTTCTTACTAGTTCTTGTTCGTGTTTATTTCCTCTTATCTCCATAAAGAAATGGAACAGAATTCTTCTTCCTTGAGCCATGCATGTCGTAAGAGGTGACTACCATGCTGGGAGCAAGGAACTAGTAACCTCTTCTCCTGTATACATTACTAAAGTGAAAAGGAGAAACTTTTGTTTTTCTTTTTGGGCCACTCTACTTCGGTGGGATATGGCCGGTTTGTTGAAAGATGATTTCAAAAATCACAATGGAATAAAACCAGGTATTGTAAATATCCAAATATGCTGTGCATAAAACAGAATATACCTTACTTTTTGTAAATGCTGTATGTACCATGGATTTCTATCTTAAATTTGCAATTACATAAAAAGAAAGGTTTGACAAAATCATGAGAAAAAGCCCATGCATAACTATTGCTGCATGTAATATACCAATAGTTAACAAGCAGCCCATAAGGAAAACTTGCCTATAGACTATATTAATCTTTCAACAATAACACATGTTCAAAAACAAGTGTATTGTAACAAAGTGAAAGTGTAATGAATGAGGCTCAATCCTCCAACATCCCAGAGGGAAGCATACTTGAGTCAATGGCCCAGTAATGACATTAGAAGACTATGTGGGATTATTGAAAAGAGTAGCTGATATGGTTTAGGTATAGAGATGGAACAGAAAAGGATCACTAAAAGGGTATATAAATCTGGGGTGGAAGAAAGGAAAAGAGGGGTAGAAAAGGTTAAGTGCTAGGGGATGGGGAGGGGTTGAACACCCAACTAGCTTGTCTGAATTTTATGACAATGTGCTGCTTGAGTATAAGCAATGTAATATTTATGAAGGGGATTCAGAGGATATCTGTTAAACAGCCTGAATCCTAGAGGTGGAAGCACAGTGCCTGCACTCTAGAGGAGGGTGAGGATGTTGCAGTATGGAGGGTCATCTGAGTTATCAACTTCTGGCAATACATTGACTGGGTGAATGGCAGTGTGTTTCCTCTTTATTTTTGGGTCATCCAACCTCAGTGGGAAACAGCCAATATGTAATAAAAAAGAAAGTCATAATAATCTATTTAGTACAGTGGAACCTCAGTTTTCATATTTAATTGTTTCAGAAAGTCTGACAAAAACCGAATTCGACGAAAAGTGAAGCAATATTTCCCATAAGAAACAATGCAGTGCAATTAATCCGTTCCAGACACCCAAAAATATTAACAAAAAATACATTTTATAGAGAATGAGTTTTACATTTAGACAACAATGAGAAATAAATACACCTACCATCCGACTTACAACCTGCTCGACATATGTCCACTCGACTTATAACCGTGCATCTGGCAGCTGGGCTGGGCCAGCTGATGCATAGTGCTGTACAATATTTGACAATACTCGCGATGGCAACGCACCATGCAGGCAGCATCAGTGTGAGTTACCCTTCCCTATCAGCAGCATCATACTATATTAACTGTACTAACTGGACAGTAAATTTCACCATGGCCCCTAAGAGGAAGTCTGAATCTTGCACTGGAGATTGTGGCAAGAAGGCAAGAGAGGCTCTTACTCTCGAACCTTCTTTATTTGTTTTCACTGTGCACATAAACCTGTCTGTATCTGTCTGCCTGTATATCTGTCTATCTCTCTAGATCTGTCTGCTTATGTCTTCCTGTGTGTGTGTCTTTCAGTTTACCTGTGTGTCTGTCTTTCTGTCTGCTTGTCTCTGTCTCAGAGAGCTGCTCATGAACCAACAGGTACGTATTACACACGAAGCAGAGTCGTCACACCTTCAATATGATGCTAATATCAGCTCTACGGCTTATTTATCTATCACAATTCATCTAATATGAAATAATAAACAATATAAATAACAAAAACCTGATATACACTCTAGAATGAATAAAATATGAACTTAATTGCTTTAAACTCCACATCTTGGACCTGTGCTGGCATGCAGGTACACATTAAAATCACTAAGAGTGTGTTATTGGTCTTGAAGATGCCATATTAACCCCTTGACTGTTGCAACCCCAAATCCTGAGGTGTCTCCTGGTGTCGAAAAATTTAAAAAAAAAAAAATTATTTTTTCTTATGAAATGATAGAGAATCTTTTCCCTATGGTAATGACACCAAAAGAACAAAATTTTATGGAAAACTTACGGAATTACGCTCTTGTGAAGTTAGCGACCTCGGCAATACAGTATTTACGAATCAGCAATTTCGCCCACTTTGTGCCCTATTTTCGACTAATTCCATTGTTCCTGTCGACCAAACTCAGCTATTTCCTTAGAACTTCATTTGGTCTATCGACTGAGTACAAGACACTGCCCATTTACTGATTATAACTACCCAATAACGTGGTCAGAAATTTGCAATTTGGACAATTTCACGCAAATTAAAAAATATACCAATTTCAAATTAGGGTCCAGAATGAACAATCCAGACATTCCTGGCTCTAAAATAACATTTTCTTTGTTCATCAGTCACATCTCCAGGCCCCTCTGATATTACTCTTGCTTTCTATTTTAAATTTTTATTCAAACAAAAAATAGAAGATTTACTGTTATGCAGACTACTGCAATATTGTACTAATTGTATAAATAATGTCAACCCATTCATGACTGCATATTAGAATGGCTAGATGGACATTTATTGGACAATGACATCATTTGTTTACTTTTGAACATCAGCAAAAATCAAACATTTCCCCTACTTTCAGCTCCATTTCAAGGTTCTTTTCATAGTAAAACCTGACCCAGCTTTCTGAACCTGACTATAAATACTCTCATACCTTCCACCCAGGTAGATCTGTTTGTGACTTGAAAAAGCCCACTGCGTGGGCGAAACATTGGCAATAAAGGATCACATTATACTGCATATGTGTTTATATTTCCAAACACGCTACGTAACATATAAACATATAAATTAACATCAATGTGAGATATTTTTCCAGTCGGCTTGACAGTGAACAAAAACCATTCGTGTCCAGGCTGGTAACAACAACAACTACATAGTTTGTTTACAAAACTCGCAGACCTTCTACACTCTCATTCTCTCTCTCATTTATTCATTTAATCTTGTTTACTCACTTCTCACTCTACATTAAGACTACAGATATTTTAAGGTAAGTAATGAATGAACACTATTATTATTACATTATATTATTATTACATTATATTTGGCAGTTTGGAGGGATATGTTGTGTATCTTTATATGTGTATGCTTCCAAACTGTTGTATTCTGAGCACCTCTGCAAAAACAGTGATAATGTGCAAGTGTGGTGAAAGTGTTGAATGATGATGAAATTATTTTCTTTTTGGGGATTTTCTTTCTTTTTTGGGTCACCCTGCCTCGGTGGGAGACGGTCGACTTGTTGAAAAAAAAAATTAATAATAATATATTATTATTATTAGTGCATATGTATGTGTAATAATAATAATAATTATTATTATTATTATTATTATTAATTTAGGGAACTGGAGCACAGATCCACTGTATAGCACTTTGTCTTGATTTTTTTGGGTTATCCTAGGTCATTTACACTACGTATGATAACTTTACTTATGTGTACCTGTGAGAGACAGACAGATACAGATGGGGAGAGAGCCAAATTCAGTCAGCCAGGCAGCCAACCAACCACCCACCCACCCGGCTGACTGGCCAGCTGAATACGTAATACGCATGTTCCAGAGTCGCTTCTCTTTACTTAAAGCATAGGTTATAGGGCATTCTGGCAGGATGACACTACCAATGGTATTCTCCCATTCTACTGTGTCGACAATGCTTAAAGATAACAGTAACATACGATACTGTACGAGATGTAAAATTTACAGTACAGTCCACTACCATGTATACAATACATAAATGATTAAAATATATCAATAGTACATTATGATAAAAAGAATGAAATAATGATTGTACATTGCATTACAGTACTATGTAGGTAGTTTATATAGCAAAGGTGTGACATTATGCCCTACCCAGTATGTCGGTAATTTTCAAAGATTCGACTTAAGTCCATTTTGACTTACAACCAGTTGGTCAGAACCAAGCTCGGTCATAAGTCGGATGGTAGGTGCATAAAGAACTAATGAAATGGATAAATGAACATTTAAATCACTTTAACCTTTATTGACGACTCTTGTTGACATCACTACCACCCTTTGCCACCATCACTACCACCCTTTGCCACCATCCCAACCACTACCACCATCACAACGACTAACACCCTCTACCAAAATTGAATTCTATCGTGTTTCTCGCCTTCTTTATCAAAGGGCTGGCACTCGGAACTTTCTCTGACCCCATGGTGGCTTATTTAGCAGTCGCACTCAATAAACAAGCACAAAAAACAATGGGTTATTACGAAATGTTTTGTATGAATGCACAGGGTAATGTTCACTCTATGAGAAACAAAGCCAGACTGACTCGGTGCTTTGTGTGGGCGCGGGTAGACGGACACGTTCAGTATGGCGGACAAAAACCAAAGTGATGAATGAAAATGGACAATAATTTGACGAAAAAAGTCGTCGAAAACCGAATTCGACAAAAACCAGGACAAACGAAAACCAAGGTTCCACTGTATAAATTTTTCTTTTCTTTTCAACAAATATGAAAAATAGAAGATCAATTCCAATACAGTTCTTCCCTCCTTTCCCAGATAATATACTCTGCTTCATAAAAATATTGCACTTTAAAAACCTACTGTACATATAATTTCAACTTACCGCAGGTCATCAATTTCAGACTGAATTTTGGCTTCTTCTTTTTCGCATTCTTCTTTTTTGGCCAAAATATTTCCACGTTCCTCTTTAATTATCTTTAACAGTTGGGATAACATTGAATCTGCTTGCTCATCCTTAAAATTCTGGATGCCAAGGAACTCTGAAATAGTATATAAATCTGCTTAAAATATTTTGCAGATGATTAAAACTTAATACTTTTCCTACATACTATGACATTTTTACTCTATCCTTCCCGACATTTTCTGTTCCTTTAGATATATGGATGAGGAAAGGTTGAGAATTGTTCTTAATATACATTCTACCAATCAACTAACACTGAAATATGCAGCAGTGGTATGATGTTTGCACTTAAATAATGAGGCAAAAAGAACATTAGAAGATATTTCTTTAAAGAAATAGATAGCTGAAATGGGATCCAAGAGAAGACAATGTACTACAACTACTAGAAACCTGAAAAAGAATATGGCAAATTAAATACTGGAGAAGAGATACAAGCACAGTTTTCCATCTGGAACCACTCCAAAACTATATCCCCACCTGCTTTTAACATTTCTGTCATGATCCTATGAGTTCCAGCTGCCTTACCCCCTTTCATTCTACTTAGTGCCTCACGCACCTCCCCCACACTCACATCCGGCTCCTCATCACTCCTGAAAGATGTTATACCTCCCTGCCCAATGCATGAAATTACTGCTTCCCTCTCCAACAAAATTTAACAGTTGCTCAAAATATTCCTGCCATCTTCCCAATACCTCCAACCCCCCATCTACTAACTCCCCTATTCTGTTTTTAACCCTTTCAGGGTCCGTCCCGTAGATCTACGGCTTCACGTTGAGTGTCCAAACCATAGATCTACTCCAAAATTCTAGGGCCATCAAATTTAGCACAAAAGCGCTCATAGGCCTACATGTGAGAGAATGGGTCTGCGTGGTGGGTGTGCGCCATAAACAAAAAATCTAGGCACCTGCATAGCATTGTGGGAATGCCGGCTCAGTTACCCTTGTTCACCATGCCTCGTCGCAAGCCCGCTCTAAACCCCCCAAAAAAAATTGGGCCCTCCCCTTTTCCCTTCGATAATTCTGACATGAGGGAAGGGGAAATTTTTGAAGAGGGAATTCTATGGCTTTTGATCTTTTGTGACCGAAAGGAATGACCGGGGGATACGAAAAATAGCCCCCAAAAAAAAAACCTGACGATCCTAACCTTCTACTCTGGTGTGGGCACTTGACGCACGGTTGGTTTTTACCCAACGCAAAATTAAAACTAATATTTTCGAAAATGGCCAGGCTTGACTTCAGTAATGATGAGGGATAGTGACGTGGATTTGTTTTTTATTGCGGGGGGAGTCATTTGAGTAGTGATTGGGAGGAATCCATTCACCGTGAAGTGTCAGTAGGGTGCCCCGCCGCATGAAAATTGGGTAGTGTCCCCTTTGCTGTGCCCAGGGGAGGGGGTTTAACACCCCAGAAAAACCCGTGCCCTACACAAGGTTTGATAGGGGATAGTGGGATAAATGTGGTACCCCTTTGGATGGAAGCCCAAAGGCTTTCCGTAGTTTGGTGGAAAGGGGTTTGAGGGTTTAGGGGGACCCCCCTTCCCGTGACTCCCACCCCAGGCGGGGAAACCCACGCTGCGGGACCATTTAAAGGGGACAAAGGGGGAGCATCAGCCCCCGCCCCCCACAAACCCCAAACCACCCGCAAAAACCCCCCTTTGATTTTCCAGTATCCCCCAGAAAAAACCGTATCTGGGTTTGGCAGCAAAATCCCTTTTTTGGGTTCCCAACCCCCAACCACTTTGAGGGATCTAAAAAGTGAATTTTCCCTTTCTTGTCCCCTTGGAACCAGGGCCCCAATTGAACTGGAATTCTTTAAAATTATTCTTTGACCACCCATTGAGGGAAAAACTATTGTGGGGGAAAGTAAAAATTTTTTTTGGGACACCATAGAAAATTTACGTTTCTTATCCCCAGTAAGTTTTCCAAAGGTGGTTAGAGCCGACTGTTGCAGAAATTTATTTGCTTTTTGAAACAAAAATTGTTATGCCTCATGTTAAAAGGGCAAAATTTTAAAAAAAGCTACTGGCCCCCACAGATCGGAAATTTTCTCCCCGGTTTTCAGTGAAATACCCCAGTAAAACAGGTTTATTTTTAGGGTTACGTATGTTGAACTTCTCTGACAAAACCGGCTGACAAAATTTAAAGGGTTTTTATACAAGATTAAAAATGTTTTCATGTATTCAAAAAAAAAGTTCCACTTTTATTTTATCCTTTAAAGAATTTTGTAATTGACGAGTCTTTGTTTTTTGTTAAAAGGGTGGGCCCTGTCATTCAAGCTTATATACCGACCCAAGGGGGAAAAAGCTTTGGTATAAAAAATGTTTGTACTCTGGGGACTGTGACATTGGCCTGTGTTGGATTTTGGTTGTATACAGGGAAAGGTAAAACATTGAAGTTTAACCAGATGTTTTTTGGGTATCTCGGTGACGTAGTGAAAAAAACATGATGGCCCCTTATTTTGGGGAAAGGGGGCTTTTACATTATTTCCCGATAACCGGGGACACAAGCCCTTTTACTCAGTGGATTTTATGCGAGTAAACAAGAAAGATGTGTGTGGCACAGGGGGTTTTCCCTAATCGTAAACTTATGACCGGCTCAACGAAGGTGCTCCGGTGGTGATGCGTGCGGGTTTTTTTTTACTGCCAAGGGACATTAGGGCATTGGGGGCATGCAAACGGGGGATGTAACTTTGAAAAACCATTCCCCGGAAATTTAAAAATCCCCAAGCCCAGTGGCAAGTTGATCGAGGGGACAAATTAAAACCGATTGGGAAAACCCAGTGACAGTGATTGATTATACAAAAAAAACATCCCATTTGGGGTTAAACAAAGTGACAGGGCAGTTTGGGTTTTGTTGTTTCTGTTGGGTAAGAGTTTTCAAAATGGGAAAATGAAACTTTTCTTTTCCCCCCCCATGGGAAAATTTTTAATGTCCCAAAGCATATATTTTTTTTTTTTTTTATCACACTGGGGCCCATTTTCCCCCCAAGGGGGGGTGGCCCGAAAAAGAAAAACTTTCACCATCATTACTCCCTCAATGTCTTTCCCCGAAAGGGGGCTTTACACTTTCAGTTTTTAAAATGCAACTTAAACAAACCCCCCCTTCAGAGTGCAGGCACTGTACTTCCCATCTCCAGGGCTCAAGTCCCGGGCCCGCCCGGTTTTCCCCCAATTCCCTTTATAAATTTTTTTTTGCTCCCCTCCAAAAGCACGTTTAATAATTTTTTTAAAAAACCCTTTTTCTCCCTTCATCCTATCAAACACGCTAAAGCATCCTGCTGGGTCCAAGCCCCTTTGCACACAAAAAACCCCCCTTTACCCCCTCCCCCCAAAACCCCTTCCCAGGCCGGCCCCTACCCCCCCTTCCTTCCAACAAAACTGTTCACCTTGAAGCATTCTGTTTTGTCCCTTCTCTCTACATTCCGAAAACCCCCTCAAAACCCTTCCTCAGCCCTTGGACAACGTTTTTGGTTTAATTTCCCCACCTCCTTTAACTTCCAAAAATACGAATTCTGCAAATTTTATTCCACCACACATTGCCCCCAGAAAGACATTTTCCACTGCCTCCGGGCCTTTTTCCTCGCTGCAACATTCATCACCCCCGTTAAAACCCATATAAAAGGTGGGGAAAACTATACTCTAAAAATTTTCCCCCCTTTGGGTCCAAGGGAACCCAAAATTCTTTGTCTCCCCAGGGCTCCCAAAGGGACCACTCACTCTTTTTTCCCCCATAATTCATGTTCACCTCATCTTTCAAAGACCCATCCGCTGACACGTCCACTCCCAAATATCTGAATACGTTCACCTCCTCCCAAACTCTCTCCCTCCACTCTGATATTTAATCTTTCATTTACCAATCCCTTTTTTTTATCCCATAACCTTTCTCTTTTCCCCCCTTTTTCACCTTTTAAATTTTTTTCTTTTGAACACCCCACCAAATTATCCCCCAAAACTCTGAATTCTTTTCGAAACTCCAAAGGGGCCAGTGCATCAGCCCAAAAAGCAACTGTGACAACTTCCCCCTTTGGGGTGATTCTTTATTTTTTAACTCCCCGCCTCTTGCCAAAACCCTGCATTTAAATTTTTACAAACCCCCTCTATTAAAAAAATATTTAAAAAACCAAAGGTGACAAACACACAAACCTTGTTTTAAAGGCCTACTTTTAAATGGGAAAAATTTTCCCCGTACATATAATATGGGACCAAAAAAAGGGGCGGAACAGCCACCGTATGGTGAATTTTGTTTGTTTTGTTGTCAGAAACTCATAATAAAAATAAACCCGGTAAGAAAAACCTGCTATTTCAACAAGGTCCTCGGGAATTCCCCAGGATTTTACCCCAAATGGTTTTTGGAGGGAAGGTGGGTCATTTCAAATACAGCTTCCCTTTAACTCGAAGAAATTTTCCCAGAAGAGAGTGTTGTCTGTGCACAAACAAAACGACGGCAAAAAAAGAAAGCAAAGGGCACTCGGTTTATGGTGAGGAAATTTTAAAGGGGTCGGGGTATGGTGCCTTGTTTCAAGGAGTTCCAAAAAAGCCCCCAGCGTTTTTAAAACCCTGTCCGTGATTGTAAATATGTAAAAATTGATAGAACATTTGTATTATACAGATTTGTGGGTGTTTATTGTAATAAACAACAGTGGTAAACAATAATATGATAATAACTTTAGTGCGGTTATTGTGTTCAATACAGTGAGTTTATATATATATATTATATACAGTATTGGTCTCTCAGGCCCCAAATGTTAGTAGGAAAAGAAAAAAATTGGAAAATAAAAGAAAAAACTACAAAAACCGCTAAATAAAGTAATGCGCGTATGTGGAATTCGTCGATGTTGCCGCCACCACCACATTTTGGACAAACTTCTTGACACTGTATCTCGGTAAGTACTGATCAGAATTTTTTTTTTCTTATTACCTTCACAAAAATATGCTCTTTAATTCTGTAAGAAATTTTTTTTTTTTTTTTTTTTTTTTTCAAAATTTCTTGGACACTGGAGCACCACTTCAGATTTTGGCCTTGGACCCTGAAGGGGTTAACTATTAAATCCATTTGTTCTCTAGCCTTTCGTAAGCTATTTA